CCAAAAAAAAAAAAAAAAAAAACGGTCTGAGGATTCAAACTTGGAGAGTGCCTGCAGCAATCAACCCCTTTACACTTGATTCACTCCTGTCTTTCATTACCCAGTAATTGCTTCATCCACGTTATTTTTGTTATCCAACTAATCACCATTTATTGAATGTCTGTGGTTTATCAGGTAGTCTATAATGCACACTTTGCTTGTCACCCACTTTCGTTCTTATACAAACCTATGAGGCAAGTATTATTTTCCTATATTATAGATGAAAAAAAGTTTAAAAATTTGCCTGTGATCCACGGGTCATAGTAAATGTAAAGGTAAAGGGGGAGTAAAAGCTGAATTTTCAGTGTGTTATCTGTGACCTATGCTTGTCCCACTAACAAACATTACACTGACTCTCAACTGGGGTGCAATTTTGTCCCCTTATGGAAACTAAAGGCAAGGATGGGGAATTTTCCTGGCACACTTTAAAAGACATGGGCATGTATTAGAATTTGAGTTATTAACAGTCAGTGCCCAAATTAAAACAAAAACAAAAAACGTGCCTGGAGGTGTAGCTGCGGTAGAGCACTTACCTAATGTATGAGACCCTAGGTTTGATACCCAGTACTGGAAAAAATTATTTTTAAAAACTTGACATTTAGCTGGGGATTTAGTTCAGTGGTGCAGTGCCTGCCTCACAAGCTCAAGGTCCTGAGTTCGATCCGTGGTACTAAAACCAAAATCAAAACGGGGGGGGGTGGGACTTGACATTTAAGTGACATATTCAGCGTGATTCCGTGTGATTTACCCAGAATTGCTGATATACTAAAAAATGGATCTGGGAATCCCAAGATGGGAACTAGACCATTTACTGCCTCTCAAGAGTTGTTATCTTCCAAGTTAGAAGTCACAGGCGGCAGTGGCTGAGTTTGTGTGTAAGGACGGTAAAGAACTTCTCTCCTGGCCTCTTCCCTAAAGGTGCCCCCGTGGCCCTGGGACCCCTTTTCACCTCAGGAGTCCCCTTTTCTCATGGAACTTTCTTCCCTGAAACACCCCTCTTCTGAGTTCCTCAAGAAAGCTCATCTCCTCCGCCATGAAACCCCACATCTCCTACAGAGCCCCCACCTCCTCACGGAACTGTTAAGTCGCCAGGGATCGCCCCAACTTCCAGGGAACCCTCAGTTCCCAAAACTCTCCTCACAGAACCCTATCTCCTCCCGAAATTCATTTTCCTTCTCCACAGAGAACCAGAATTCTTATCTCAGTGAACCTCCACCTCCGCACGGACCCCTCAGTTTACCAAAGGAACCTGCCCATCTCCTCTCCTCACCGGCGCCCCCCCCGGCTCCCCGGCCCGGCCTCACCCCGCGGTTCCTCCACAGAGAGCCGGTGCAGCTCGCTGTAGCGCTG